GAATTTGCACAACGGCACAAGAGTATTGACGTTGACTCTCAAAATGATTCTTGGTCGCATTTTGTTTGTTTCTTCTAAGTTTTGACAAAGGGACATCTATTTTCGTTTTGTCTTTTCTCGCAGTGTTTCCTTTCATTTCTAAGCCGCGACGCCGTCGCGTACTGCGGTACGACGGGTCACGTGCTGCCAACCTACTGCATTCTTTATTCACCAGTTTTCACGGCTACACTGCATGCATTGTATAATGACTCATAATTATTTTTTGCTCTGCGCTGAATCACGTACTAGTGTAGGGGGGGGGATTCAGAGTTTGCTCTCGATGAGGCTCGGCAAGTTCGGTTCTTCGAAAGGAAGAGAGAAAGGGTTGTCTTTTGTTGTTTGCCAAATCTATTTTACTACCACGAAGTTTTCCCGTTGCGTGTGAGAACCTGCATGACAATATTAGATATAAATGGAATGCACCAAATTTTCGGTCATGGCCCATCTTCAGGGTGAAAAACCATTCAACTAAAGCCAACAAAAACTGAAACGAGTAGATGTGCTGTGTGGTGCGGTAGTGCTGGAAATGTTTGTATGTGTGGAGGGTAGCAGCAATGGCGAAAGCTGTCGGGCGAAAGGAAGGGAAAGAACGAGAAGTGCGGTTACCAGCAGCAATGGTGAAGTGTGTTGGTAGAAAGGGAAGGAGCGAAGGAGACAACTGGAAAGCTGTGTCTGCAAGTGTGAATATGTGTTAGTGCGACATGGAGATTAGAATGCAAAGTGTGCAATGTAGCTGGAGCCAAGACAAAGATGACGCCAAATATTTGCTAAGCACTATAATAATCAGCTAGCACACATAAACATCAAATATTATCGTGCTATATATTCCCAACATCACAGTCTACCACAATTTAAAGCACCAACATCTAACACAATAATTTCACACTGTGTCCAGCAGTTTCCAGCCAAGATCCCCGTTAACTCTTGGACGTCTATCACGAATGAACATTGCTTCACGTATTCGACGATTCACAAGGGACGGCTGTTTGGCGAGAATTGATGCGTTGGTGATGGGTGTAGATGTGATTGCTTGTTGTGGGTGGTGTTCTGCATAGTGTTCTCCCCATGGCGTCTCCAGCGCTTGCGCTTTGGCCTTTCTGCAATGTTCTTCAAAAAAGGTGTTTGTGGCTTTAGTTGAATGGTTTTTCACCCTGAAGATGGGCCATGCCCAAAAATTGGTCCATTCCATTTATATATAATATTATTATTTATCACATGGCACGTGATAGTTGCCCGTACTCCAGCGAATCAGCACCTTTCGCGCCGCGGGCAATAATATGCGATATTGCCCGCAAAAAAATAGTTTATTTGCCCGCAAAAAAATAGTTTATTTCAGTGATCGCGTGACTACGAAGACTGTAGCTATAGACTGTACGACTCTACGACGAGTCGCAGTGTAGCGTTGAGAAGATGGAATTCTTTTTGGAGATGGACATCCCGGCAATGGACATGGCCTCGGACGTCTGCCGTGTGGTGCTTGCAGGGATCATTTGTTCAGGCATGTTGGCAGCCTGACCGTCGGTAAGCTTGTGGATAAGATTCAGTTCTGCTCGAAGTGGTACGGTGATCACAAACAATTATTTGAAAAAACACAAATTCAACTCAGCGTCGTGCGTTTTCAGATCCTCACAAAGTCACTGCCTGTGTGTGGTCTTCATGTGCCACGCAAAACTCTTACCAGGCTCATATGTCCTCTGCCTTCACCTTTGCTTGAACAACAAACACAACAATTCAGGAATGTTTTGCAATGAAAAACACAGCTATCTGGAGCTGAAAAAAAAGAAGAAAAATTGTCCTCAGAATTGCACACCAGGGAGTCGTCAAATGCTTGCACTTGTTGCAGTACTGTATTTGACAACTTCCTGATACACATTGAAACATGAAGAAACTCTTTGTGGTAGCACTCTTAATTTTTCAACTGAAATTATGATTCTGCTATATTTTATTGTCGTTGCCATGTCTATTGCTATGACGATGCGGTGCCGGCACTTTTTTCTGTCTCCGTCTTTCAGTGCTGTATACTCTCTGATGGCCTGTAGCAGACTTTTGTTAGGGTGTAGGAGTAATATCTTCATTTTTCCTGTTTTGATAATGATAGCACATCAATATACATTGTGGTCATAATGTGTTGGCATTTGGGCTAATTTCAACAGCAGCCCAATGGTCTGCTCTGTGGGCCATGTGATAAATTTGTTATCGCATGGTTGCAAGGGCCTTATGGCATATTATTGCCCCGAGAGGTTAGCCCGAGGGCCGTAGGCACGAGGGCTAACCTCGAGGGGCAATAATGTGCCATAAGGCCCTTGCAACCATGCAATAACATATACTTATTATTATTATTATTATTTTTGGAAGTGAAGTGAACTTATACAGCGAAGAGACCGTAGTTGGAGAGTTTGAAGTGAGGTACCCTGTAATGTGTGAGTGGCTGAAATGGAGTCTGCGAGTGCTTAGAAAAATTTGAAATCAAATTGGATCAATTTTCAAAATGGTGATGCTCAATTGCCCGCACTCACAAAGAGACAACGTGCCCAAGTGGAATCACTTACACTTGAGATCAATGCATTGACATTCTTAGTAGAATCAGTGGTCTGTAGAATACGAAAATTAAAACAAGTGGCAGTCAGACACAAGAAGCAAATGGCAATGGCTAAATCCCCATTGCCAGCGGAGGATCCGGATGGCATTCTTTGTCAATCTGCAACACAAAACTACGCAATATTTATCGGATGCCAACCACACACTTACCACAAATACTCCTGGGCGTTCCGACGCACGACCCAAGGCGCATCACGATAGGCCTTGACAGATTATGCTAGCATAATTTTTCGCATAATTCCTAACAAAATCGAATAACCGCATTATTCGAGGCAAATTGCATACGAATCGCAAAAAATTGGAATAACCCGCCTGTTAGCATCAAAGTCCATACAGTTGTACATGTTCTACAAGTACAAGTACAAGTGGATGCACCAGGAATTCGTAGGTTTACGACTCCCTGGATATCATGTCCAGTCCACTACAATCAGTGACGGTCGTAGCTAGGTCGGACGGTGCGTTGACACCCTTGAACTTTTGCTACTACAGTACAACGCCCTCTACAAAAAAATTCCCCTGTTATTTTGCACAGAACCATTATACATTAGCAGCATATGTGAGCATAATGCGGCATAATATGATAACTTTTAGCATAAAAATGGCATAATTCTGCAATTGTTTCAGCAATGCGAAAAGCATAATTTCACGAAAATATTAGCATAATCTGTCAAGGCCTACATCACGAACGGTTACCAAACTCATCTGTACTTCAGTTTGCTGAAGACGTTAACATGTATGCACCTGGTGACACTATTGAAGAAGTCGTGGACAAATTGAACGGTGATTTTATGAAGTTAACTATGAACTTCATAAACGAATGAAACTAAATTCTGCTCCACCGCAAGACCACCGATGTCCCGATGTCTGCCTCTGTCACCGTTGATAGTGTCCATGCTCCCCGCACGCAGTGTGCTCGATATTTTGGTATTGTACTTGACAAAAGCTTGACTTTAGGCCCACAACTAGACAACCTTGTACATGTGTAGGCTCTGTCAACGGACAACGTGGTGCATACCCCTTATCCCGCAATCTTCTGCCATACCATACTCGTCGTACCTTCTATTTTAAAAGTGTCATTCAGTCAACCTTGGAGTATGCAAGCATCGCTTATATCCACTCTCTTTGTTCAGTCAACCTTTGAGTATGCAAGCAAGGCATATATCCATTCTCTTTGTTCTACTTCAAACTATGATAAGTATGTCCGTTTGTTCAATAGATCCCTCAGAATAGTATTGGGTTTTGATAAGTTCACCAGTGATTCTCACATTCTTAGCCTTTGCAATCTTTATCATAATTTTAGGCGCGTCAATTTGAAACTGTTTATTCTTTTGTTCCGGTGCATCCATAGCGGAACCTGCAGCTCTTCGCTTCAAGCAATCTTTACCAGCCACTGCTATTGCCCTCACACCACTAGGGTAGCGGATAATGCCGGCATTATATTCGGCATTATACGACTATCCGAGCATCAGAGCATTAGAAAGGAACAAAACGAGAATTATATGAGGTTTGAGCGGCATAACGAGTTTCATAGTGGATAATATCGGGAAATCCCAGGTTTTTGGCAATAATCGGCTACGATCATTATCATGAGATGTTGTCTGATGATGATTGGTTTTTGCCATGAAACTCTGAGTAACAACGAAACAGCCCTATTTTACTCCTTTTGTGTCCCTCTTGCGTACTACGCTACACACATTCCGGGCATTTGAGCACTATGCATTGTACAGGCGCATGATTTTGTGATTGTGTAGACACGTAATACCTTTAGCACTAACGCTACATAACTATCGCTACATAAAAACGTTATGATTGTAGCGATGTAGTCAGGTAAATGTATACAAGCCAGTTAATTAATAACACTTTTTTGTTCAGTGACGTGGCGTAAAGCTTTTTTTGGCTCTGAAAAATCTCGTGTTTGGGCATTTTAGCCCCACATATGCCCGTTCCGGGATCATGGAGGCCACTGATGTATGTCGGGAAGCAGCTGAAATCGACCCATGGCGGAAAGTAAGCGCCAGGGACCTGATAGCCCGAACTGTGATATTTCCAGCTCCAAAGGATGTGAAACTCGCCGAGTACGTGAGCTGCCGTGAGCAACACGCAATTGAAGCCGAGCTCATCCTATCTATCCAGATCAGTTCGGTAGGCCAATGCAGATTAACGTTCACAGATATCCAGCTTGCCCAGTTAGTCGTGAAGAACGGATTTCATATAAATAGACAACATATTCTTCCAAAATCCTTGACAGAAAACACTCATGTTCAGTTGCACATTCACGATGTTCCTGTATGGGTGTCGGATGGCGCCATTACATAAGAGATCATCTCCGAGCCCGAATTGTGAAGGCTGACACCCAGGTGGAAATGCTCATGTTAGAGGTCAGTGGGCAGCGTTCCAAGGTTCTCCTTGGTGGTTTGTACCGTCCTCCAGGCACTCCTGTGCAATTCTGGCAAGATTTGACGAATGCACTAGACACTGTCATCTCTACACTTCCCACGTCACCTCTGGTCCTTGTTGGAGACTTCAATGTCGATGTAAGCTCCCGCGACAGCCCCCAGCTAAACAGCAGCTTGCTGCACCTGTGTAACTCTTTCGACATCAAGAACCAAGTGGACAGTCCTACCAGAATTGGACCCCAAGGCAGCCAAACAACCCTGGATCTCGCTCTGGTCGGAGACGATCATGTGAACTCTTGTGTCGTAGTACCTTGTACAATCAGTGACCACTTCGCTCTGGCACTTGATTTGCGAATCACAACGTCCTGCACACCGACCGTGCGACGTGGCCGTAACATTGCAAGAATTGATATGGGTCAATTTGCACACCACCTTCTAAATAGCGATCTAGAGAACTTCTGCTTTGCGCGGACAGAAGATGAAATGTGGGATATGTGGCTGGAGAAACTTGTCGCTGCCTTGAACACTCATGCTCCTATCCGTCTACACCTCCCAAGAGCTCCTACCCGGAAATCCTTCCCCTGGAAGACGCCAGCTCTACATGACCTAGTCCAGCGACGTGACGCGGCCCATCGACGGTGGAAAGCATCACCTGCAGACCCGGCACTACGCAATGTCTTCACTTCTACCCGAGACGAAGCCAAGCGTATGTCACGACATCTCCGAGCCACCTACTTTAGGGACCTTCTTGCTGCTAGTCAGGCCAACGCACGAAAAACCTGGCAGACCATCAACTACCTCAGCGGTCGTAACAAGTCCTCAGTTCCACCAGCCGTCAGTGTCTCACAGCTCAGTGACCAATTCAGCGGTGTTGTGTCAGACCCAACTAGACCACTACGTCTCTCAGCCCCATTGGGTCCCACGAAGAAGGAATGCCTCGAAGAATTTGCTCCAGCAAGTGTGCAAGAGATCGCTAAGCTGCTCTCCAACATCGACGTGCGCGAAGCTGCAGGCAGCGACCAGGTTCCAGCTGCAATCCTCAAACACTGTTCTCCTGTCCTTGCACCGTCCCTCACCATACTAATGAATGCATCTCTGGCTTCTGGTGTTGTTCCTGCATCTCTGAAGATTGCGTATGTTCGTCCCCTCTTCAAGTCAGGCGACAAAGCTGTCGCTAAGAACTATAGACCAATATCGTTATTACCAACAGTTTCCGAAGTCCTAGAGCGGGTAGTCCACACGAGACTCTGTAAGTTCCTCTCCGGAAATTCCTTGTTCCCCGCAAACCAGTTCGCATATCGCCCACTTCACTCCACAGAAGATGCCCTGACATTGGCTGTAGACAGATACTTGGAGGCAGCGGATCAGCAGCGCCATACAGGTCTTGTACTTGTCGATATGAGCAAGGCCTTCGATAAGGTCAAACACCAAATTTTGGTTACAGATCTATTTCAGCTTGGTATTACCTCAACGGCGCTCAGTTGGTTCATGAGCTACCTAACTGACCGCCATCAGCGAGTCGTCCTGAGCAATGGCCAGTCGTCCGCCCTCTCTCCCTGTGAGTGTGGTGTTCCTCAGGGAAGAGTGCTGGGTCCTCTTTTGTTCTCCATCTACACAATGGAAATAGAACAGATCACAGCTCCAGCCCACTCACAGCTGTTTGCTGATGATATCCTGCTAGACGCCATCAGTCAATCCGTCGAATTCTTGAATTTAACCCTCTCCCGTTCAGTCTCGAACCTGGCCAACTTTCTGGAAGAAAGAGGCTTAATACTAAATCCCTCCAAAACCCACGTTCTAGCCCTTCATGCGTCTCGCAGGCAGCCCTTGTTACTTAACATAGAATGCAATAGAAATCCCCTAGCTCAGACCACAAATGCTCGATATCTAGGTCTAAATCTCGACACCCAGCTTCGGTGGGAGACTCAAGTTGCAACTGTTACACGGAAGACCTCCCAGAAACTGACGGCGCTGCGAGCCATTCGCTCCTGCTTAACTGAGCAACAAGCCCTGCTATTTTACAGATCTTTAATACCACCGGACATGTTGTATGGATCTAATGCCTTCTTCTCGGTTCTCTCTGCGCACCAACGGCATCAGCTTTCGGTCCTCGACAAGCGATGTATCCGCTGCGTTGCCAACCAGCCATTCCCCTCCCACACATATCCCATCTACACCCGTCTAGGCTTCATCCCCATCATCCAAAACGCCCACTGTAAACTCCGCCTCCTCATGCGTCGTATTCACACTGCCAGAATTAGTAATCTCCTGTCCAAGCGCCTACGTCGCCAGACTGAAGGCGTCACTCGGATCAACGATCCAAATGCGTATGTTGTCCCTGCCACCAGGCGAGTCTCTGGTGACTGTCGGCCGCTCGTTTCTGCTGTTATATTATGGAACGCCCTGCCCCAAGAGTTCAAGTCCCTCGCCTGCCATAGATCATTCAATAGACTTTTAAAGGTTTATTTTTATGGTTAGCCAGCATCTAGGCTTGGACTTGGAGTCGTGACTCAACTGTGACTCAACTGTGCTTTCTTCTTCTTTCTTTTTCTTTTTTTCCCTTTCTCTTTTCTTTTTGATTATTTGCAGTCTGTGTTTTCTGTGTTTTTCTCTCTTTCGTGGAGGCTTGCTTGTTGTATCCTTGGCGCTCGGCCGTTACTTTATCGCGATCATAATATTGGGCACCATTGCCCGTTTGGTCTGCGATACAAAATAAAATTTCAACAACAACAACATTACAACCGCACTTGCTCCATACTGTACCGTGCAGGGCGCCATTCGCCACGGTAAACGGTACGGGACAACATTGTCATTGCAACCGGAGTCCGTTTTGCAATCTTCGTACTGGGGTAGAATAAAGCCGTACCTTCGAGTTCGTTCGTGAAATCCAGAGACGGGAAAGGCACTTTCCGCGTATACTATAGTGGCCAAAAGCCCACGTGTCGAATTTGCAGCAAGCCAGAGCACCTGGCCAAGGACTGCCCTGAGGCCCGCAGTACCACTGCCAGTACGGGTAGTACACAGCAGTCACATCACTCAACGATACCTACATATACAGACACTGAACACACACGTCGACTCCTATCTGATGTGGTCGCAAACCCAGCCCAGACAGCCCAGCAAAGTATAGCCCAATCACAAAGCCCAACATTCATGTCTAAGCATGCTGGTTTCCCAGCAGCTGACAAGAGCCACCTCAGCTCCTCTGAGTCTGAAGAGCCGCCTTTTCCTGCTGATACTGAATCATTGGTCGACAATGAAAGCTTATCCAAGCCAGAGAACCAGCAGCCGTCTAACTTGTCCTGCGACTCCAACAGAGAGGCCAAGAAGGCAGACAGCGATGCATGTACAGCCCTAGGCCCACAGCTGGGAGGCCACAGCGACGATGATCCTGATTCTGGCGGGTGGGAAGTCAACCGATCCAAGCGCTCACACTATAGCGTCACACCTGACCGGGACCCGAGTGCCACCACCACTGGATCCAAGCAACGGAAAAAACGGAAAAGAAAATCTCCTGAGAGTGGCCAACAAGTCCTCGAGTAAGTCACTTCAGAAACTTACCGCTTTGATACACATTATTTTACCTTTCATTTTTGCACCCATGCCTAGTTCTGCCATTCATCACAATACTGTTAAATGTTCACTCAGACTACTTTGCACCAATGCATTTAGCTTAGTTAACAAGCTACCTGAGTTCCAGCACACACTGCGCCAGCATAATCCCGACATAGCAGCAGTGACGGAAACAAAGTTTGCCCCTGACACTGTTCCACCATCTGACTCCACATTCCCTGGCTACACCACCTTCCAGCTGGATCAAACAGCACGCGGTGGCGGAGTAGCCGTATGGATCAGATCTACACTCCCAGCCATGGTGATTGATGAGTTATTTTCTCCACAGCACGAACTCATTTGGCTATCCATTCAATTGTCCCAAGGACAAAATATAGTGGTGGGCGCTGCTTACAGGCCAGGTTCGACGCGGCCCAGTGACCTTTTGCTCATTAACCATCTTGACGACATCCTTCCCTCTGCTCGTGCACTTGGTGCCAACCTCATAATCGCCGGTGATTTCAACGTGCATAACCGCAATTGGCTACATAGCTCGAAGACCACACCTTTTTTTTTTTTTTTTTTTTATTGGGAACACAGCCCTACAAAGAGACATGTGGAGACAAACACAAGACAAGACACAGGGGATGTAGGGACGACGTGCCGATGTACAGGGAGCAACTCGACCGACCAGGGGTCTCGGTGTTAGCGTTGCAACCTGGCATCGAAAAAAGGGGGGGGGTGCATGGTCAGGTAGCAAAAATAATAATTTGGTGCGAGAAAGGGGCGCTAGTATTGCACCAAATAATATAAATTAATACGTGTAATGACTAAACCAGAAGGGAAAATGAAGAAAGAGGACAGTAATCATAACAAGCAAGTAGTAGTAGAGAGGTAAATACTAAATGGGTCTCAAATCTCAATATCATCGTCACAGGTACTGTGTGGACCACAGCCATCTCTTTCGGATTAGATCCTTACATACGTTGACCTTGAAGGTTTGGAGGCATCTTGAATGAGGCTCGTGAAGCAGGAGGTCCGCAGGCAGGTTGGTGCGGGGGAAGCCCTCGAAGACACATGCACAGCCCACCTTCTTACGAAGCACGTTCAGTGTCCTACTCGCGGGGACAACACACTCGACCTGGTGATGTCCACGTTGAACTCCCCAGTGACCACGCAGATAATGCCCCCAATTGGTCGATTAGACCACGCTGTAATTCTTTCGGACTTCACAGGTGTTCTTCCCACCCATGAACCGGCGGTGCAACGAACTGTCTGGCGCTATGAAAAGGCAGACTGGAACCGCCTCCGATCCTTTTCCCGCCAGGTTGATTGGTCAACCGTCATTACTGCCAACCCAGAAACTTCGTGTCAGCAGGTCACTGACACAATCACGAAAACCGTTTCCCGGTTCGTTCCGTCCAATACACTGACAGTGAAGTCAACGGATCCGAAATGGTGGACACCTGAGTGTGCAGCCGCAATGAAGGAGAAGCACAAACGCTGGCGCACTTGGAGGATACACCCTCACGACGTTGCTCTGAAACCTGAGTTTACCCGTTCTGTAAACAATGCTATCGCAGCCCTGACTAGATCTAGAGTTTCCAAAGAGAACAGCCTCGGACATAGCTTTTCGAATGGGTCCCTGAAGGAGAAAGAATGGTGGACGAAGCTAAAGTGCGCTCGTGGCGGGGATCGGAACACTGACATTCCCCTGCTTGTTGATAGAGAAGGTTTTATCCACATTCCAAACATGTGTCGTATCCATGCTATTGACACGTTGCCTTTTTTGTCCTCTACTGCAAGTACGTGACAAGTCTGCCTTATTTAGATGTCTAATTATTTATCTATCTCCCGTAAACGGGTTCGTAATCGTCTTTATGTTATGTCTTCACTAGGCCCAAAACGAGGTATATTATGTATCAGATTTCAACGACCAGGAGGCTCTTAGTAGTGGCTGCAAATGACCGATATCCGTCACTTGCAGCTCTGCATCAGAGACCTGTAGCTGGCCTGAAGAGTTGTAAAATTACTCCTTCGTAGCCGGGGGAGTCAGAGCGAGGGCGATTCACGGCTTGGTCAAAAAACTGTCGGCCTGGAACGTAAACGTGGATCTGCCGACACAGTTCACCTGGTTCACACGCCTGACCTGGCATGCTGCCTTGCGTGAAAGGAACATTTTTCCGAAAGCAAGCTTCTTCTCCAAAATTCGAAATTTCTTTCCAAAAATGCCGTCGTCCTTGACCTCGAAGCTGAATGTTGTTAGGATAGAAAATTAGCGAAGATGTAGCCGACCCATTCTGGCAAGCCGTGTGCCCTCTGGATATGCAGTTGTTCGCCATGGTCAACAATCTTCTTCTCCTTCGTTCGTACTTTCACTTTCCTGACCACGAATACAAGCGGTACCCATGCTCAGGTTAGTGTTTATTTGTCTGTCTATGCACATACATGTAATACAATGTACTGTTCGTGCTGCAGGCACTGGCCGATCATGGAAATAGAGGAAGCAGCCAGCTTTCTTTGAATTCTCGTGCTTTCAACAAAAATATGTACACACTTTCCTTGGCTCCTTTTTCCCACCGCCACCATGCATGCACAATCGAGCTTGCTTTAATGCCCTGCAGTGCAGAATGCTCCCACCACCGCAACTACCACCGCCGCCACCACTACCAGCAGCAGCACCACCACCACCACCACCACCACCACCACCGCCACCACCACCGCCACCACCACCACCACCACACCACCGCCACCACCACCACCACCACCACACCACCACCACCACACCACCACTGTGACCACCACCACCACCACCACACCGCCACCACTACCATTACCGTGACCACCACTATAGAAGCATTGTCGTGCACGGCACGTCTGCAAGAGAAGATAATAGTATGCCAGTGCTGTAATGCCCTGCAGTGCAGTATGCTCCCGCCACCACCACCACCACTAACGGTTTGGAAGCATTGTCACGCACTGTACATCGATCCACAAGAGAAAATAATGCCAGTGACTTACTAGCACCTCCATGCTGCATGCGGACCTGGACACAGCACTGTTCCCTCTGCAGGAAAGGGGTGGGGGGGGGGGGGGTGTATTTCATTGTCCCTGCCTGAAGTAATAATGACTACATGACATGATATCCAGCTAACTTTGCCAGTAACGAACGACCCTTGATCGGGCATGAGAAAAGTGTTGGTATTTGGGAGTTGTCGTCATTCACGGGGTTGAAAATATACGGCTATATTGTTACTAGGTCTGAAGATAGTGTCACTATCCGTGGGTTGTTATACCCGTGGTTGACTGCAGATACGTTTGGATTATTCTATGAGTATATGAAGGGTACACGTTAAATATTTTCCTGAGGACATAGCACGAGGAAATTATGGGGAATGCAGTACATGTATAGAATGGTGCAATCCATTTCTCCCAGGGCACTTTCCCAAGACTCCTTCCAATATTCACTCTTGGCGCGACCCTTGTGAACTGAGCGGGGTGTATCGTTGAATATACCCCTCTCAGAACGTCTACTGATTGGCTGAAATCGCCCAATTCATACCGTTCCATGGATGTCAGGGAGTCGTAGCACCCAAGGAAACAACACGAGATCATGATACCCAAAATGATGTACTGTAAAAGCGGAAATTTTCAGTGGTGTTTTATTTTCGGTAACTTCGGTGCCGACAATTTTTACCGAAAAAATGCACTGAACTTTTTCGGTACTACTTAGTGGTACTAGCACCCTTACCTGGAAAGCGGGTATTACCGAAAATTTCCCTCCACCGAATCGCCGATTTTGGAGAATTCCGAAAATATTACACCACCGAAAATTTCTGCTTTTACAGTACACAGATTGGATCCATGGAGATTCTACATGATCTGTGGTTTATGCAACTCGTGATTGCGGACTTGACTCACTGGCCCCAAGCATGGGTCAGTCAAGCGATGCTATATGCGAGCATGTATGTATCGCACTTGCCCCTAAGGCAGTTAGGGCAACTGTCACTGGCAGCCCAGGGTTGAACCCACATTATTAATTTTTGAAATTTTCCAGGGTGACACGAAAAGCTTCATGCACTGGGTGGTCACTCTCTATTCATGTATACCACTCTGCCAATAGTGCATAGAGCTCTCTTTTGAGCTGCCCAGCTGGCCCTCGTTATGATTTAGGCTGAAAGTCTACCGTGCCGTATCCCTTATGCTGTGACTCCATAATGCATATGTACAGAAGAAAAAATCCTGGGACTCCGTTGATGAAATTCTGTTTTGTCAAGTGGGCATTTTTGATTATTGTGAATGGCGTGTAGTGCCAGAGTACAGTTCCTTTTGCTCCATAACGTTTGCACAAGTCACCTTTCAGCAATTGAACTAGGAAGATCTATGTCTCTGATCTTGTCATTTGGCCCGGCTGGTGCTGTGCACTAACAACCATTGTCAGGCACCCTCGAAAGACCAACAGCGATGAGTTCATGACCCAAGCATTATTTGGGCCGTTAAGTTGACTAAACGGGAGTGTAGCAAGCTTTGATCGGCATGCTTGTGAAATGTTGTCCGAGCTGAATAGAGTCTATCTCCTGCGGTTTAGTACAACAGTTTCACACCTAATACTGTAGATTCGACGTCTCCAAGAAAAACCTCCATGGAGACTGGAAACTATAGCAGATCATAAATGATGCAGTAGCTCAGCTGATTCCTCAGCTCGTGTCCAGGTTCATGTACTTTGGTAAACGTGTTGTGGCAGACTCCATGTGCAAAGCTGCATACTCTTGGGGTTATTGATTCTTGCTGATGATTCCATTAACGTTATTGCATAGATATGAACATCATAATAATTGAATGTTGGCAAGACCCAACAAGGTGTCCCTAATGACTTACATCAGATCTTCACAAAATGCACATATGTACTGTAAGACATGATTTTATAATATACAATCATGTCTTACAGTATATATTATATAACGAGGAAGCAAATCTAACGTTTTAACGGA